GGTGTGTTGTGAGCAAGACACGAGAAGTCATTCTTCCGCTCTACTCTGCTCTGGTTAGGCCTCAGCTGGAGTATTGTGTCCAGTTCTGGGCACCGCATTTCAAGAAAGATGTGGAGAAATTGGAGAGGGTCCAGAGAAGAGCAACAAGAATGATTAAAGGTCTTGAGAACATACCTATGAAGGAAGACTGAAAGAATTGGGTTTGTTTAGTTTGGAAAAGAGAAGACTGAGAGGGGACATGATAGCAGTTTTCAGGTATCTAAAAGGGTGTCATAAGGAGGAGGGAGAAAACTTGTTCACCTTAGCCTCTAAGGATAGAACAAGAAGCAATGGGCTTAAACTGCAGCAAGGGAGGTCTAGGTTGGACATTAGGAAAAAATTCCTAACTGTCAGGGTGGTTAAACACTGGAATAAATTGCCTAGGGAGGTTGTGGAATCTCCATCTCTGGAGATATTTAAGAGTAGGTTAGATAAATGTCTATCAGGGATGGTCTAGACAGTATTTGGTCCTGCCATGCGGGCAGGGGACTGGACTCGATGACCTCTCGAGGTCCCTTCCAGTCCTAGAATCTATGAATCTATAAAAAAAAAGTCTTTTCCAAAAACATGCACAATTTAAGTATCTAGACACCTTTTAGTTACTAGTAAGTGTACGACTATACTATCTGCAACATTAATAAAAAAAAGTCACTATTAACACCCATCTACAAATGTAGAAATATTACCAGAAGACATCTGGTGTTTTGGATGCTACAAAGACATACTCAAATAAAGCAAATTTGACAGCACATGAAGACACAGGAGCCAAGTGGTCAATACCACATTATGCATCAGGTCAGAAAAGTTAATAGTTAGAAATCACATTGCAAGCAACACTATGTAACAGTATTTAAGTTTTAAGACAAAAAAATGGAATTCCAATCTTACCTCTTCCACATTTATGCTGGATTTTGCACTTGTCTCCAGAAACTTGATTCCATAATCTATTGCTAACTGGAAGACAGGTTTTAAAAAGTTTTGATGTTTATTAATTAAATTTGCAAAGTGACAAGACATTTTTAGGTCAGCTAATAATGGAACAGTGGCTCCATTAAGGGTATAACCAAGTTTATATCATGATCCCAAATTTACTTTCTTTGTCCTGGAAAAATGTTAACATTTCCCTTTTACTGAAGAGCTGTATAGCATTTAATGAAGGACTAAATCAACAGTTGCTATAGAAGTTTGAATAGCTCCTACAGAAATTGAGAGAATAGCTTAAGGGTTTTCTGAACATGGTGGACCAGACCCTCTGCGGGTGTAAACTGATGTAGCTGCACTGAATTGTATCCCCACCACAGAATACTCCTAGAGGCAGATCTGGATGTAAATCTCGTCTATTCTGTAGCTTTTTTGAATTATTGTATGGAAATCACTCAAGTTAAATAGGACTTTTCCTATGGATATCAAAAGTTTAATTAAGAAAAAAAAAAGTCTTAATAGTAGTCTAAGACATTCGTATGCAGGTGTAGATAATCCTATCAGTGACCTGCTAGCCAGTATCATAATACTTGGATTGTGTAAACTATAATTTCATGTGTGCAGCCTTTTTTCTAAGGATCCTGAAGTAGAGTCCCAGAATGTCAAAAGAACTAACTTTACCCTTAATATGGCTACTTTAACGTATTCATAATTCACCATTGCAAAAAAGAGTCTGATTCAGAGAATGATCAACCACAATGCACTTAAATGACATCCTGATTATCATCCCTTTCAGGTTCCCTCAAAAGGGAAGAATTGTGTTATCATAGGGAAGGCCAACATTTAGAACATCTCACTTGAGACGAGTACTGAAGCTCAATTGGAGTCCATATATTAAGTACCATCTTAAAAAAAGGTTGACATCCTAGGATGTGTAGAAGGTTCTAAAGCATAAAGGAGTTCAAGACCCATTATTTTGTTTGGTGTTGCTAAAAGTAGAGTGTGACGGGTTGGATCACAGAAACCCCCTTGGGAGCTGCCACCTAATGTGCAAAGACTACCCCTGCTTTTGTTTTCCCTGCCAGCTCAGGATTCCAGCACCCTGTCTTGCTGAGCCAGGACACTCCCGTCTGCTCCAACACAGACCCAGGGTCTGAATCACTTGCCCCAAAGCTGCAAGTTTACCTGAAAACAGCTCACAGAAGTGTGCTTGTCTTTAGCACTCAGATGCCCAACTCCCAATGGGGTCTAAACCCAAATAAATCCGTTTTACCCTGCATAAAGCTTATGCAGGGCAAACTCAAATTGTTCGCCCTCTATAACACTGATAGAGAGATATGCACAGTTGTTTGCTCCCCCAGGTATTAATACATACTCTGAGTAAATTACTAAATAAAAAGTGATTTTATTAAATACAGAAAGTAGGATTTAAGTGGTTCCAAGTAGTAACAGACAGAACAAAGTAAGTCACCAAGCAAAATAAAATAAAATGCGCAAATCTATGTCTAATCAAACTGAATACAGATAATCTCACCCTCAGAGATGCTTCAGTAAGTTTTCTCTCAGGCTGGACACCTTCCAGGCCTGGGCACAATTCTTTCCCCTGGTACAGCTCTTGTTCCAGCTCAGGTGATAGCTAGGGGATTCTTCATGATGGCTCCTCTCCCCACTCTGTTCTCTTCCACCCCTTTATATATCTTTTGCATAAGGCGGGAATCCTTTGTCCCTCTGGGTTTCCACCCCCCCTCACTGGAAAAGCACCAGGTTAAAGATGGATTCCAGTTCAGGTGACATGATCACATGTCACTGCAAGACTTCATTACCCACTTGCCAGCACACACATATACAGGAAGACTCACAGGTAAACACAACCATCTGCAGATAATGGGAGTCATCAAGATTTCAAACCACCATTAATGGCCCACACTTTGCATAATTACAATAGGCCCTCAGAGTTATATTTCATATTTCTAGTTTCAGATACAAGAGTGGTACATTTATACAAATAGGATGATCACACTCAGTAGATTATAAGCTTTGTAATTATACCTTACAAGAGACCTTTTGCATGAAGCATATTCCAGTTACATTATATTCACTTCTTATTATGTTTTTATAAAACCATATAGACTGCACAACGTCACAGAGTAACAAGCATCATTAGGAACAGTAGATCAGAGAAAATATTATGCCTTTACTAAAGAATTTAGTAGTCCAAAAATTTACCTTCTCTCCTTTTTCTTTTGAGACCTGTCTCTTTTCATTCATATCACATTTATTACCCAAAATCATTCTTTCCACATCTGAAGAGGCATGCTGAAGGGAAAAATAAGCTCTTGTAAAAGCAGCATAGAGTTAAAGATAAATCTTCACCTATCAGAAACAGATCTACACATTAGACAATAAGAACTCGCTCTAATAAAACCCTAATAAGGGCATCAGTGGGGAAAGAGAAGAATAAACTTTTTGAAAGGCTTAATAAAGTATTTTTCTTAATTTTGAATGTCTAGGGTATCAGCACGTAGATGCCTTGCTTGACTTCAAAATGAAGTTATTAAAACAAGACTGATGTTTACTGGCTTGCAAAGTGGTCACAAATTGCCTGATTAATCACTGTGCTTCCATTCTTGACTAGAGTGGAAGGCTTTTCTAACCCGTCACCAGTGACCAGTCTGATGTGATGGTATAAGAAATCTCCTTGAGATAGTCCCTTCTTTGCAAGGTCCAATAGTCAAATGTAACCAGAGAATGGTGGCAGGTTTCTTTTTTTGAGCGCAAGTAGAATAAATTTCTGTCACCACCAGATTAAGCCTTATTTTGCTTGGATCTAATGCTCAAGGCTTCCTATTCCCAATTTGTCTAGCACTGCCTTCAGATTCAAGTATGGTCAATGTATTTGCTATTCAAATAACTTACAAGGTGAGGGGAAACGAACACACAACTGAAGTTTAACATAAGACCAAAGGCAAAATTTGAACCACCAGGTATTGAATGTACACAAGCAGGTAAATCTACACTTAACACTACTCTGGTAGTGTTAAGCATTTCTCAACTTCACCAAGAGATACTGAAAATAGTTCTCCTTCTCGTCTCTTCAAAGCAAAGGTTAAGCTAAAGGCACTCATTGGAAGCAAGCGGTTTTGAAATCCTTGCTCTGCATGATCGTTTTTGAATGAAAGTCTCTAACTTTCCTCTTTCCAGCCCATGGTAAACCAGAAAGCCACCCTGTGCTCTGGTTTACATCCATTTTAACTTGGCTACGCATATACACCCCTCTGTTGAAAGAAAATAAAATTGCTCGGATGTTGGTCATTGCTTTGGAGAAGTTTGAGAATATCAACAGATGCAGCTTATTTTCCTAATCACCTACCTCTTCTATGTTCCTTATCCAGTTTTTAATGTTGTCAAAAGACTTCTCATTTGTGATGTCATATACCAGCATAATTCCCTGTGGGTGAAAACGAAAACAAAAAAAAGCTAATCTTAATATTAGTTTAGATTTGATGTACACATTGCTTGTTTGTGGTTAAAACTCCTAAAATGTAAGTAAGCCACATGTACCTTTATAATTAACAGCCCTTTCTGAAGACTTTATATGATCTCACTTAGAATACATTTTGAATGGTCTTGACCCAATATATATCCATTAATTGTCACCTATTTTTTTTAAACATAGCATAATTATGCTCTTAATATTAAGTTAAAACTAGCTAAACTATGATCAGCAAGAATTTGTAAATTCTATAACTAAAAGGCAGCCAGCAGTCGGTCTTACTAGAAAGAAAAATTGTGATCACCATAAAGTAATCATGACCTGATATCCTGTTTGTCTTAAGTAAGCCATGTTTACAACAAGTATTTCAGTGTTCATTATGCATCACCCCACCTCTCAAAGGGCCTAGGAACAGCTTTTGTAAGATTCTGCTTGCCTGGGGCAAGTAGCTCTACTTAACAAATGAGTAGAGTTTTACAGCAAGGCTGATGCTGAATGCTGTCAAAGCAAGTCTGCTCTTCCATAGCTGTATGTATGCATCTCCCTAGAATATGGTGGCAGTAAAGTAAGTAAAACCAGACAACAACTGCATTAATGCCTGACCTAGGATGTCTCCGTCATGGTATGTGGTGAATAGCTCTGTCACATATAGTGTGTCAAAATGTAAGTTACTATTCAGAAGTCAAATAGTTGACTAACTAGAATCAGTAGCAGTTGCACTAGAGACAGTTTATATACTTGATCATGTCTGAATCTAGCTGCTGCATTCTAGAGCTGCTGAAGGGGACACAGCAGGTAAACCAACTCAGTCAAATTCACTTTTAATATTAGCAGACATATCACCTATCCTGCTATCACTTGAAACAAGGAAAGTGTTGTGACTGTATAAAAACAAGTTTCTCAAACAAAACTTGGTGAATTAAGCCTCTTATGTCCACAGAGAGATTGTGACTATATACAAGATGGAGGGGCAGAAAACTGGAGAACAAGACTTCACAAAAACAGCAATGGCCCTGAAATAATCTGTTATCCCCTACCTTTGAGTTATAATTTCTCTCTAGCAAGACACCTTGAACCCTTTAAACTTAAGGAAGCAAACTAATTATGATTTTAGTCACACTTGAACAGATACACTCTGAACACTCACTCACCATGGCTCCTCTGTAGTATGCTGTTGTGATTGTGCGGAATCTCTCCTGACCTGCTGTATCCCTAGAATTTGGTGAAAACAGACACTTGTTTGTTTATTGTTTTTAAACCTTGTTTTCACTACTTTCAGAGTTCATAAAAAACAAAAAGGTAATGAATGTGTTGATACTCCTGGATATTAAGAAAAGTACCCTTTAAAAGTTAAATAAGTATATCTTTCTCCTTTGCGCTCAAAAAGGTACCAACAACCCACTATACTAAGATTGATATTTACGAGGGGAAACAGAGTGGATAAAAAAAAAATCAATGATTTTAAAAAAAAAATGATTTTTTTTATTTAAACCGGATTTTTTTGATAAAATGCTTTTTGAGGAAAACACTTCTCTAAAGATAGTTTTAATTAAGATACATTATAGCTCAAAGATATCTCATCATGGAATAGGGATTATAAATTCTAATTCTGTAATATGCGACAATATATTCATGTAATATTTAAGAAAAGTTGTATAAATGAGTTCCAATAGTTCATGGATTAGGGACCCAATCTTATGGGGTTCCAGGGGCTTCTGTATAGATTATTTACATTGATCTTTCTATCTACCCATGGGACTCAGTGCTCAGTCTAGAAGATACCATCAGAGATTCTTAGTTTTGCAGTTCTCAAACTGTGGATTTATGTCTCCAGAGATAACATGCTTGTTAACAGCAAAAAAATATTTTAACTAAATATATAGAGGTGAGAAATAACAGACCTCAACCCTATTGTCCCTCTGCAAATTTGTATACACAGAGTCAATCCTTTACCTCTCTCTAAAGGTGCAAAGTTTCTTCTACTCATTGAACTTTTTGATTGTTGGGGGCGGAATAGATCTGGACAAGAAGAAGTCTGGAGATAAATGTGAGAAAGGAGGGACAGGCAGTAGAAACAAAAGCGAAACTGTTTGAGCAGCATATTCCAGAAGTCTTGAGGTCTTTCTGAGTGTAGCCTTCATTGATTTGAAATCTACCATACCATTCTCTCACTAGAAGGGAAGACTGATAATGGCAGCAATCCGTAAGAGAGACCCAGTTTGGGAATATTTTAATGAAGTTCCTCTACCTGTGGGTAAGACAGGCATGCGTGCAAAATGCAAACAGTGCAACAAAGAAATGCAAGGCCAGTTGCCCGAATGAAACAACATCATGAGAAGTGTTCCTTCTCAGGAGGAAGCTGTGATGAAGATGATGAAAGGAACATGTCTGAACATGCGGGATATTCAGGTTGGCAATTTTTTTTATTTCATACTTCTTTCTTAAGGACTGCCTGTCTTCCTTCTGGACTATTCTTGAATTCTCATGTTTGAGCAAAAAATATAGTTGTTACTCTATGGTACTATCATTTTAGATGAAGTTATGATAAAAAATAAATAGTTGAAATAGGCAGATCTTCCTTTTACAATTTCACCTTTAAAGTAGTACTAAGTAATACTAAATGAGCAGTATGGTAATAATAATTAAATAACTGCATTGACTTATTTTGTTTAGGAGAATCCATCCTCAACATACAGGATTCTGAAGACTATCCACATTCAAGATCACCATCATTTTCTATAGTTTCAGAGTTATCTGCCAATAATAGTGTTTCAGTCACATCATGTACATCACATAGCCACAGTATATCACCTGTAGCAAAAAGAAAAAAAAAATCTCCATTATCCAGAAACAACCATAGATAAGTTTGTGATAAGAACCAGCAGATTACAAAAAGGGGTAATTGATGAAAAAATTGCCCGGTTTGTTTATGCAACAAACTCTCCTTTCCATATGATTGAGAACCCACACTTCATTAACATGATTCAGTCATTAAGACCAGGATACAGTCCACCCAACAGAGCAGATGTCACAAGCAAATTCCTGGATAAAGTGTATGAAAGAGAAATTGAGCAGTGTGCAAAAGGTCTAGAGGGTGAAATTGTTAACCTGAGTCTTGATGGGTGGAGCAATGTCCACAATGATCCTGTTCTATGTGCTTGTGTAAAAACAGAAGAAGGGAATGTCTTCCTTACAGAATCAATTGATACATCAGGAAATGTACACACAGCAGAATATTTACAAGAAGTAGCAGTAAAAGCTATAACAAACTGGAAAAAAAAATCAAATGTCTAGTACGCAGCTTGGTCACAGACAATGCTGCAAATGTATCCAAGATAATAAATTATTTAGAGGAGAGTGAAGAGAGTCCCAAGCTAATAACATACGGTTGCAGTGCTCATTTGATGCACCTCCTAGCCAAAGACTTCAGTGTTCAGGAAATAAAGGCTAATGTTGTAGAAATTGCAAAATACTTCTGTAACAACCACTTTGCAGCAGCTGCTCTGAAAAAAGTGGGAGAAACCAAGCTAACTCTCCCACAAGATGTACGACGGAACTCAGTAGTGGGCTGTTTTGAGCACTATATCAAGAACTGGCCCAATCTGATGACCGTGCATGAACAAAATCGTGAAAAAAATAGATGGCACTGTCACAGCCAAAGTTCTCAACATTGGGCTTAAGAGAAATATTGAACACATCCCGAGGACCCTGAAGCCTATTTCTGTAGCCTTGACCAAAATGCAGGGAAATAGCTGTTTTATTGCTGACGCTGTTGAAATTTGGAAGGAACTGAGAGATCTTAAAAAGAGAAATATGCAATGACAGAGTTAAATTACAAGCATTAAAAAAAACAAATGGGACAAGCACTTATCTCCAGCTTTCAGAGTAGCAGCCGTGTTAGTCTGTATCCGCAAAAACAGGAGTACTTGTGGCACATTAGAGACTAACATTTATTTGAGCATAAGCTTTCGTGAGCTACAGCCCACTTCATCGGATGCATAGAATGGAACATATAGTGTGGAGATATATATACACACACATACAGAGAACATGAAAAGGTGGGAGTTGTCCTACCAACTCTAAGAGGCTACTTAATTAAGAGAAAAAACTTTTGTAGTGAAGCTCATTTTCTTGCAAATATTCTCAATACTCGGTACCAGGGTCAAACCTTAACTGCTGAAGAAGAGGAATTGGCTATGACATGGACATCCAGCAATCATCCCTCCATAATGCCAACTATAATAAACTTCAGAGCTAAGGGTGAACCGTTCAAGAAATCTATGTTTGCTGATGTTTTAAAGAAAGTCACACCAGTAAACTGGTGGAAGTCACTTAAGCACTTGGATTCAGAGACTGTTGAAGTGATAATCTCACTTTTAACGGCAGAAGAAGCTACTGCCGGTGTAGCAAGAATATTTTCTTCCTTTGGACTAATTCATTCCAAATTGAGAAATCCTGTGGGACCTGAAAAAGCAGGAAAGCTTGTTTTTCTTTTTCAGATTATGAACAAACAGGAAAATGAAGGTGAAGACGACTGTGTTAGCTGCAAAAGCCAATATTTTAAGTTTCTCGTGTTGACCTGGCTATCATAGTTGATTTAATTTTTGTTCTGTTTTTTTTTAATTCATTTAACTATTTTAGTTAAAAACAAATTTTAACAAAAAAACCCACCTAATTTAAAAAACTTGACTGTTTACATTCAAAAATTCATATGCCTGTTTTGTTAAAAATATGTGTTTGCTGTTGAAGAAAAGAATACATGATGTTGTTGTTTTAGTTAAATAAAACAATTTACATGTCTGTCTGGTGATGTTCTCCTCCTAAGACAGCATGGCAAGAAAAGCCTACAAATATTAATGATTAGCCTGTTGAATTAGAGACAGTTCACCTCCCAATGATTTCATAAATATCTGCTTCAATTACCTTTAGCAAATGAAATAACCAATCATTCATTTTCTGATATAGCTGTAAAACTAATCTGAAAAGTTTTCAAAATAAATCACTTAAAAAAAGTATCATGTGTACCTTCTGAAAATGAAACCTACATCTATCTCCGAATTGTGAAGAATATGTATTAAGGTTATAACAACCAACAAGAATGCACTTTTATGTAGAAAGCCATGATTAAATCGAGTCTTCCTGACTAGTGATTTAAATCAATTTGATTTAAAATCAAATCCACCCTGGGAAATAGTAAAAGGATAAATCAAATGTTCAGTTAAGAAACTGACACAGCATCAGTCAACTGAGACTCAGTACTGCATGGCCCTGTTTACAGAAACAAGTGTAAGCAATTCTTCTGAGGCAGTTTTTATACATTTTAGCCCTGTATTAAACAAAAAAGTATGCCCCAAGAAGTCATTAAAAACAAATATAGGATAGGATAATTTCATTCACAGTTAAGTATTAGGACCAACCACCATAGGATAGCAGTCAGTAAAGTATCTTGGATGCTGCTTCAAAGAACCTGGCCATCTGAGGATAAGACCAATTCTGACTAGTGAGATCAGGAAGTGTATGAATGTCAATTGCATCCAGAGACAGCTAAATCCCAGATGTCTGTGGAAGTCTGCTGGCTGATTTCTCAACACTGTATGGATATGGATAACAGTTGGATACCAACAGATAAAAGAAGGTTTAGCTATTTAGTGATGATGATTTTTGATTACATGCAAATGTTAAACCGGTGATACTCAGAAATCAGTGTTTCAGGAGCTAAAATTAGCCATCAACATTACCCAAGAGAGAGACACAGTAGTGTGAATTCACTGTTTCATTTTCTATACTACTATATATTTATATTATTCTCACAGAAAATAAGTTAACTAATTACATTATCAACTTGCATTAAGTTAACAACATAGTAAAAGCATCCTGACTGGTTAATAATTAAAATCACACAGTGTTCTAATATCATGTGCCGCAAAGAGCCACAGGCAACACATTAAAAAGCCACTTGCGGCTCACAAGCCTCAGTCTGAGTATCATGGTGTTAAACCAAGTGTCAGAAAGGGCTCATTCCAGCCTTGCCCCCCTTAAAATATCTCAGCAAGCACCTGATATTTTAAGTGGGGAAAAACTGTTGTAGCATTTAGCAGGGATCATCTGTTAGAAGTCTGCCTGCACCCATCTGAGAATTCCCTGTGATGGCAGGAGACCAACACTGGTGGACACCAGTCTTTCCTTCCCCCCAACCCAAGAACATTTGACAATCCTCATTTCCTATTATGCAATCTGACTGTAGGCACCAATACATTAAACATCCATCCAACACAAATTAGATTAAAAAAAAACTAGCAGCTCTCACTGCTTAGTCTATGATGATGCAGTTAGGATCTCTCTTGCCTCTGGAGTAGCAAAACCCTTTAAATGCAGTTTTAACAACTTCCCTTTTTATCAGGAGCTGTCATAGTCATAACTAAAGACAACTGACTCAATGTGTTCGCACACGCACAAATGCTATGAGAACCTTTGCTCCAAGAACACGGTGGCAGATAGCTATCGTGCTGGAGCTTACCACAAGTTTTACAGCTTCTCCATCACTATCATACCGTACTGCCCATGAGTAATTTAACCTGACTGAAAACTTATTTTATTTAATTGTATTAACTGTATTATTTTTTTTTAAATTGTATTAATTGTATTGTAATACTTACCATATTTGTAGCTTAATTTTCTTTCCATCTAGTTCTATTGTTCTGATTTTAAAATCAATTCCTGGCAGAGAGAAACATATATTAAGTTTAATGACAAAAGGAAATAAATATTCAATTTGCTATTGATTGCTCTGAAATAAAGTACAGATCATGATAGGGAAGCAGTAAAGATTCTGAAGCTGTTGCTCTCAAAATTACTCTGCTGAATTTGTACAGAAAACCAGACACTGAAGTTAATGGTGCTATGCTAGTTTACACCAGTTCAAGATCTTTCTACTTATTTATACTGTAGGACCAAAGCTTTCAGAAATAGCCACTAATTTTGGGTGCCCAATTAGAAAGGCCCAACTGTCAGAAGTTCTGACTACCCTGAAGTTTAACCAAAGACCATGGGAGTCCTGGGTGCTCAACGCCTCTGAAAAATTAGGCCTTACAGTACCTCAAACTGGCCTTCTAATATTAGTGGCTACTTTAGAATGAAATAAGCCCAAACTTTCAAATCAGAAGCTGCAGTAGAGGGGAAGGGCACTTCATAGCCAAACAAAAGGAAAGTGTTACTCTTATCTGCAGACCAGATATATAGGCTGGTCCATAAATGAGGCCTACTGCAATAGATCATGGATCACACACACACACACACACTATATATATATATATATATATATATATATAAAAGCACTCAAGGCTCACTTTTCAAAATTTTACCCCAAGTCTTGTTTTCTAACTTAAGTCAATCTCACAAATGTAGTAAGGAAATGCTACATGTTAGTTCTGTAGTTACAAAAATAAATAAGTTGCATACACTATGAGTAAAACTGGCAGTAAAACTCCTATATAACTTATGGGTAGAATTTTCAAGATCACCTATTAGAGTCTGAGAATGTAATCATGAAAACAACGGACCTAGGCGTTAAGACCATGATTTCCAAACTGATTTGGGCATCTTGGTTTTTGATGTCCAACCTGATAACTTAAGATAGCTTGATTTTTCTGATAGCACCAAGCACCCATCATTTGTAAGTCAGAACCCTTTAAAGTCTGCTACAGTCCCTAGATTACCAATCCATTTTGAAAATCATTGCCCGATTTCTTTTCCTAAATAAATTACCAACATTTAATCATGGTCTATGATCCACATAGATTTTCCTCTGATATACATTTGACAATAGCCATTTCATGGACAACTACATTTAGTGAAGAAAATTCTGTTTCTAGCATCAAGGGCTTATATACAGCTAAAAACAGGAAGTGACGGGATTTTTTATATTGCAATTGAATTTGAAGATGACATCACTTGAATTTTGACTTACACACTCAGGGAGGTGGAAACATTTTGATTTAGTGAAGATGCCACCAAATTTCAGCTGTTCAATATCAGATGTAATGAAATGAGGATATGAAATTTAAAGCAACACTAGTTTGTAAGAATGTATGTTGTCACTACAAACACCACATTAATATTTTGATACTGCATGAACATAATGTAATGACTCTAGCTATAGTCAACTCCAGATATTTTTTATTATTCATGATTCATTAACAAGTTTCAAAGTTATTGAGAATTAGATTAGTTCATGAACTTCATTTTTATATCAATTTAGTGGGGCATTCCTGTTACTGATTTTCGTGTCCTTACGAGTTACGCCCAAGATTACTATAACTGAAATTAGAAAAGATATATATTTTCACTTAACATTTGACAGCACTGTGCGTCCTGCACCCGGTTAGTTTCTATAATCAGAGTCTCTTGTTTATTGGAGAGGTGTGTGTTTACAGCAACAGTAGAGAGGAAAAAATGTTAAAAATATGAATGGATTTTTAAAAAATTCAAAGTTTCTACATTTGGAAACATTCTGAATGCCATTGCAAAGCCCTTCACAGATGCTAGAATTTAAATTTAATGTTTTTACTAAAACTGAAGACAAATGCAATATCCACTTCTCTTCTAAAAAATTGCTGTTGTCCATAATATTTTAAGTCAGAGGGTTTTAAGAGTTCCTTATTCATCATCTCTAGGCCTGAAGTTTTAATGCTAATTATAAAAACTGTTATGCAAAGAAAAAAAGGTTCTGAAACTAGTGTGGTTTAAAATCATTAGTTCATAATGCACAAGAAACAAAGACCACACCAACAAGAGCTGAGTTTAAGACATTTCAAATAAAACCCCAGAAGGGGCAGGTTTCCTGAGGAATGGGCATATGTTATATGCTCAAACCAAGCACACTGTGTGCCCAGATCCACTCTGGTGAACACTGGCTATTCTCTTATGGTTAGTATTTTCCCCATGTACTACGAAAAGATTTATACAACCATAATCTGACCTACTCTAAAACTCAGGATTTCTTGGCACAAAACAGCTCTACAGAATAAAAAAAAAAACCCACACATGTTAAATGTATCTGCACTGAAAGTGAAAAATGTTAATAATCTAAAAACAAGGAACAGGTAGTGAGAAAAACCATGAGCCTCACAGTTACAATGAAAAGTACATAAAGAAAATCAAATAAGTGACTGCAGCATTCTGAGAGGCTTAAGTGAACTAGACACTGACATTTCTTTTGTTCTTCACTACAGTAACAGGAAGTGGTGAGCTGCACCCATTTAGCGCCGATCTAGTGACATGTGCTACCACTTCCTGCTGTATACACTGCATGGCTAAGCATGTGCAGCACTTTGGTTACTGAAGTCAGGTTATGGTATAACATATCGCTGAGGCTCTAACAACATTCATAGGTTGACATACCAACTTGTAAAAAGCCATTTTCATTTCAGTAACATAGCAGATTTTCACACACACACACACACACACACACACACACACACACGTTTCCATCCACTGGAAATAAAAAACCTCTTTGGAAGATTCCCTACACTTTTTTAAACTGTAACCAGAGATAAACAAAGCAATGCTGCAACTGAAAGGGGCCACATAACTGCTTCAGCTCTAAAATACAATATGTAATGTTACACAGCCTTGAAGGAAAAACATGTTTGGATATACACATGCCACTGCTCTGCTGGGTGATCTTGGGCAAGTCTTCACCTCCAGGCCTGTTTTTCTCCTTCTATCAAATAGGGTTAATGATCTTTGGAAAGTGCTTTGAGATTGGCAGATGAAGAATTCCATCAGAGCTAGGCATATCAACTTTTCCTGTAGAACAGGGTATTTATTGCAGGAATAATAAGCTCCCTACCACACAGGCCAGCCAAAACTTAACTAGAAGAAAATCCAACACATCTGGACAAGCAGAAGCCTTTCAGATTTGGAGCAGAGAAGAGTGAGGATTGATATTACTTTGGGATTCCATGCCATCATATTTACCCCAAGTAGGGGATTAGAAGAGTAGATATCTTGATCCACTGGGCCCAAGTTCAGCTAGAGGTTTCAGGCAATGTGGTAACATCCCTTTCCTTCCTTTGGGGAATTATACAAGATTTGGGGGCCTGATTGACTTTGATAGCATCATGCTGAATCACAGATATATTTCCACTCAGCATCTGTCAAACACAATGATGTGGATGGAATTGAGCTAGGCACATTGGAGAGACCATGACTATGAGAGCCTTGCTGACATGGTGGACGTGGGGCTTAGGGAGCACTGTACAAGGTCTTGCCCTCTAGTAGATAGAACCTGTGGATCTTGTGGTCTTTCGGTTTTGGCACATGAATAAGTTGGGATGGTCACATGACCTGTCTGGCAAGCCATATTAGGAGGATGTAGATACAAGTCTAAAACTATCAAAACCTCAGACATCTTAGCCAAAAAGAGAGTAATCAAATCAGTTACTCTAGGGCACTTTAACCAACTAAGTATTTCCCAGTACAATTGATTGCGTATCAGAAATCAGCATACAACTTCTTCTCACCAATGCTGGTATAATACTTGAGCACCTATTTAGCTATAATACCCAACAAACAGTTAGCAGAAAAGTTTGTTAAAAACCAAAAAATTCCACTGCTTCAATTATTAATTGAGAAAGCTTCCCTCTAGTTGAGGTCTTTCAAGGAAGATCTATCAAAAACACAGGGAAAGTTAAAACCCCCAACTGCCATACTGAAGAAGCCTTTCAGGCCTTCTTACTCCATCAAAGTCAAACAAGGGGGTACAATTCTTTTTCCTTTGCAGTTTATCTTTAAAGAAGTTGTGTAATGCTTTCAATGGGGGTTAGGCAGTGAAACAAAAACAGCCAGCCTCAATCCAACTCTTTCTATTCAATAAGTTAATCGGAGTGGAGAAGGCTTTGTATTGATTTGTCATTACTATTACATGAAAGATAACTCTTAAGTGCTAGTCAAATCCTATCATTGGGAGAATGCAACCCCTTAAATGACAAAGGCTGAACTCTTGTTTCACTTGATACTGCAGACACACTCCAAGTACAATAGACCAGGTCTACACTATAAACTTACTAGTATAGTAATGTCATTTGGGGTATGATTTTTATGACTTATAGCAACAAAAGCCCTAATGAAGGTGTAGTTATTACCTCAGCATAAAAGTGCTTGTGCCAGTATAGCTTATTTCACTCAGGGAATGAGTTTAAGCTGCAGGTACAGCCGGCAAACCTTTTCTAGGTTAGCACCTGCCTTAGATCTGCACGCAGCAAGAGGAACTGCAGGAGCCCAGTCCTCAAGTAATCAAAAAGAAAAATCAGATGAAGTTCACACCCCCCCTCCAGCAAAGTCACAGGGGGAGCAACATGCAACATTTGGAGTTGTACATTTGTGTGGATCAAAGCTAACTATCTAGTAGCTCATGCTAATATTTCATACAGTTCACCATTAGCATCACAGCAGCCGGAGCATATCCTGTGAAAACGCCACATCAGTTTTCAGTCTGCTCTTTACTCAAGCTGATTTAATCCTTAGTTTCCTATTTCAACAAATCTACAGAGTATTCACATTTAGTAATCACACATTTACTATTTGGTGCAGTCTTTATAGGAAGTCAGTAGTCAGGAAATTAAACCTTCAGATGGGTGCAGTTTCCCTGCATCATTGTCATGGTGTATGCTGACCTACACTCTACACAGTGTAAACAGTCACAATGCTTCCCATTA